ACTGGCCCACCAACATGAGTTGACCATGCCACAGCGTGCCGTCACGTGGTCGCAACTCCGAGTCGATGATCGCGGTCTTCGGCGTCCCAGGGTCGGTCATGTTGCGTTGCAATTTTTTTTGATCAAAAGCAATTTTTTTTGCTCAAAAGCAATTTTTTTTTGCTCAAAAGCATTTTTTTTTGCTCTTGAATTTTCATCGACCTCAGAATCGAAAATCCAACCCCGTTTTTTTTTCGCTCTCGCGGTCGGCCTGCATGCTTGAGTCCAATTTTTTCTTCGCGCTCGCGGTCGGCATCCGCGCGGCGGCTGAAGCGCCCGCGGGCGCCGAAGCGCCGACGGAGGGAGGGCGACCGCCGCGCCGTTCAAGCAGCGGCGCGGGCGAGGGCCCGCGCCGCCGCGCCGCCGACGCTGACATGATCGGCGCGGCAAAGCCGCGCGCACCGACGCGGCGGCCGCCGAGCGCCGCGCCACGCGCGCGCGCGCCTGGGGCCGCGGACGACATGACGTCGCCCATCAGCTGGCGATGCCGAGGCCGCTCTCCGAACCCTGGCGGCGCGCAGCACCGCTCGCGACGCGGCTATCTGCATCCCGCGCGCGGCGCGGTCGACGCGGCACTGGAGCAGGCGCACTTGGCGCAAGCCCGCCCCCCACCCACGCGCCCGCCCCTTCCCGCCACGCTCCGCCCCCCAGGCACGACGACTTCAGCGCGGGAAGCTTGCGTTCGTCCCCGCCGCTACCTCGGACCCCGACCGAGCCTAGCATCCCACGGCGCGGACCCCCCGCCCTCGCGCGCGGCGCGGCGTCAGCGCGGTCCGCCCCGTCGAGCGCAGGCCGCGCCAGCGCGCCGCGCGGGGGCGGGCGGCGCGCGTCGGGCCAGCGCAGTCGATAAGGATGCGCCGCGGGCGGCCCCGACATCGCGACACCTGCTGGCGCGAGGCGCGGGGCCCCGAGGCGTCGGCACTGCGCGGCGGAGAAGGGCTGGCGCTGACCGCCGACATGTCCGATGCTTGGCATTCTCGCAACGAGCCGCGTCGCGACCTTCACCGCCGCCCCCGCCGCCTTCGCCCCGCCCTCCCCCCCCCCCCCCCGCCCACCACTGCGTCCCCCCGCCCTCGCCGCGCCGCGCTGCATGCACACGTGCACGCATGTGCGTATGGGCATGTAAACATGTACACACATGCATATATAGATGTACGCGTTGGTGAACATGCGTGGTGTCATGCGGCGGCATTCCCAGGAGCTGCTCACAATGTGATGTTGCGAGAGCCCTGTCCGCGCGCAGATTTCTCACGTTGGGCGCAGTTCCGCCTTGCCGAAGCTGCGCGTTGGGATGCGGAGCTCTTCCTGAGTGAGTGCGGTTGCCACGTCCATCCGCGCTTGCATAGGCATCGTGGCACACTGACCAAATACCATCAAACCAGAGCAGCATTCCCTTGAAACGCCCCGAGCATCCGAAGAACCTCAGGTCATGAAGCCCTGCCACCCGCCACCCTGACACCGCGGGGCCACGAGGTCTGGGCACCCGATGCCCCCAGCATTCTACGCCGCGAACGCCGTGAGACAGGACCCCTCTGATGCCTCAGAACCTCAAGACTTGCAGACGCTAAGACAGACACGAATGCCGAAGGCCCGAAGACCATGACGCACCATAGAGTACAATCGGGCTGCGACTGCGATTGGTGCAATGACCCTGATACACAAAACCACGAGGTCCTATTGTCTTGAGACCATGGTGCAATCAATATTGGTACGTTAACACACGGGTGCCCTCACAGGTCAAGACAGTAAGACCCTGCAGCCCTACAACTGTAGGGCTCCAAGACCGAAGTCGAAATTGCCATTAGACCCTGGTCCCCCGTGACCCAGGCGCGCTACGACCCTAATTCACGAACGACATCTAACCATAAGACCAGATTGTCACTAGACACGAAGAACACACTACATGGCCCTTCTTGGTCGTGTCGAACTTCCTCTGCTACTTCGTAATCTTCTCGAGGGGCTTGAAGAGCTCCGATTGCTTGAGGCGGATGCACCTGGCCGCCTCGTCAAATCTCTGCCTGCCGCACACGATGGGCAAATTGCCGCAGAAGTGGTTCACGGCCGTCATGATGCCGCGCGTCATTGTCAAGCTGGGGTGCAAGACTGGCAGCGCGAGAAACGCGCGAGGGGCGTGCCGACACAGGTGTGCCCACATGGGCTTGGGGGGGGGGGCATGCGGGCGCAGCCACTGGGGCTTCGGTGGAGCTCCCCAATGGCCCGCGAAACGCGTGAGGGGCGTGCCGAAGCTGATGGTGGCGATTGTGACGATGACGGAGACGATGATGACGACGATGGCGGCCGCGATGATGAAGATGATGACGACGATGGTGTTGCTGATGGTGATGATGGTAATGACAATGGGGGTACGGGATGGATGATGATGCCTGTGTTGGAAAGTGACAACGATAATATGGAGGATGATGATGACGGTGATGGGAGCGGATGGGTGCTGACGGCGATGATGGCGGCGATGGGATGAGGGAGGACGGTGAGGAGGAGGAAGGAAGGAAATAAAGCCAAACATTGCGCTCTCGCAGCCTATGATGTGCAATGTATGTGATGCAATGTATATGATGCAACTTATGACATGAAAAGGTTTCCTTTGCAATCCACGTGATGAAATGCATGCGATGCAACGCGTGTAATGCAACCTATGCGTTGTTATATATATATATATGGCTGCCATGTATGCAATGCAACATACGCAGTGAAAGATATGCAGCCCGTATGTGAGAGGCAACGTATGCAATGCAACCAATGTAATGCCATCTACGCTCTGCAATCTATGTGGTGAAATGTATGCGACGCAACCAACACAATGCAATCTAAGCCGCGTCGTCGCCGTCGTCCTCGTCGTCGTCGCCGTCCTCGTCATATTCTCCCTCGTCGTCCTCCTCCTCCAGGGCCATTCCCCCCCCCTGTGCCGCGGGTCGGGGCCCTGCTGGGATCTCTGGAGGCCCATGGGGGAGGCGCCTTGAAGGGCGGGAGCCAAGAGCGCCAAAGGGGCCCCGAGGTAGGAAGAGGAGGCCCCAAGAGCACCTAAGGGGGAACCCGCCCGCGGCCGAGCGGCGAGGGGTCGGCGGCGACCAGGCGTTGACCTGCGGGGCGGGCGGCTGGCGTCGGCCTCGCGGGCAGGCGGCGGCGAGGCCCCAGGGCCGGGCGCGCAACGGAGGCCACGCAATTACCAGGGGCGAGACGGCATTACCGCCGCTTGTGCGCTGCACCAAAGCGAGAGCCCCATCCTCCTTGTGCCGCGGGTCGGGGCCCTGCAGGGATCCCTGGAGGCCCATGGGGGAGGCGCCTTGAAGGGCGGGGGCCAAGAGCGCCAAAGGGGCCCCGAGGTAGGAGGAGGAGGCCCCGAGAGCACCTAAGGGGGAACCCGCCCGCGGCCGAGCGGCGAGGGGTCGGCGGCGACCAGGCGTTGACCTTCGGGGCGGGCGGCTGGCGCAGGCCTCGGGGGCAGGCGGCGGGCGAGGCCTAGGGGTTATGGGCATGCAACAGAGGCCACTGACCATGGGCGAGGGCCCCTGGGGAGGGCCCCTTCCAACGGAAGGGACCCTCCAATGGCAGTGAGGTAGCGGCCCTTCAAGCATATCTCGGAAGGGCCGCTACCACTATCCGAATCACGTTGGCACTTCTTTGGCTTGATGCGACGGGATGCGCCCTCCATGAGGAAGGGTGCATACCATACATGCCCCCCATAACATATCACCGCGGGCGCCCGAGGGCGCCCGATGATGGCGGGTAAGCGGGCGAGGATAAGTTTACTTATGATTTGAGACGGCTGCCGACTGTGGCGGTTGTTGAGCCCATAGGCCCGCCGACGGGGAATACCCTAAGGCATAGTTCAAGCCACCGCAGGCCCCGCGGGGCCACGCGGGGCCCTCCCAGACACCCTGAACCCCAACGGGCCCATAGGAGGGAGGCCATGGGAACCAGCGCCCATCCCGACTCACCCCTCACACGGACGGTCGGCCCTGCAACCACAGACACCCTGAGCCCAAAGGGAAACCCTGGGGCCCTGGGAGGCCCAGCCTGGACCCCGAACCCTCGAGGCCTTGAGACTCCGCCTATTTCGGCTCACCCCTCGCACGGATCGCCCGCAGGGTCTGGCGGCAGAAAAACAGCCGAAGGCTTTGCATGAGGGAATTCTCTGCGAATGCGCGACATCCTCAACTCTCCAGTGCACTGCATGCACAGATGCTCCTTCTGGGACCTCATGGCGAGATCTTCGAAGCCAACGTTTCTGAATGGTTTCCTGAACGGCTGGAGCCAGCGATTCTGAATGGTTACCTGAATGGTTTCTGAACGGTTGACGCCAGCGTTTCTGAATGGCTTCCTGAATGGCTTCCTGACGCGAGACCGCTGACCACAAGAGCATCTCACGCATGAATGCGCAACCTGGAAGTGAGCTCTGAGGTGGATGAGGAGGCGGGCCGAGGAGGAGGGGGGCGACGACGACAACGACTCCCAGGGGGGAGGGGGACAAACAAAGGGGGACGGAAGACGGAGGTCCAGGCAAGCTTTCACTCGGCAGCGTGGCGGCCACGCCAAGTCCAGGTCCAAGTCTGCAGCGACGAGGGCACGTCTGAGTGGGCCCGTGGCGGACCTCGGGCCTCGGATTATCGAGCTCGGCGGCGCCTAACAAAAACTCTCCGAAACCGAATGCCACAACTCGGGCCTCGACTCTCGGCGGATCCTCGGGCGTCGAGTTCAGCTCTACAACTCCGAACTCTTGGGATCCTCTGGCCTATCAGCGGCCACCGCAAAAAAAAAAACTGACTGAGATTGTGAATCACAATCGTCTTGTTCCTCCTCATATTCCTGCACCCCTCCTCCTACTCCTCCTTATCATCTTCCGCCACCTCCTCATCAGTCGGCACGGCGTCTAGCTCCTCGGCCGATGGCTTACTCCGACGAGTCGCTGTCGCCCTCGGACTGCGAGGCCTGCGGGTCAGGATCGTCGCCCTCCGCGTCTGGGATCTGCGCGTCCACTTCGGCGATGCGCTTCATGTCCTTGTGCGGCTGCGCCTTGCACAGCAGGTGCTTGTCGCGGGAGGCGATGCTCACGCGGCGGCCCTTGATCTGAAGATGTTGTTTTGAATATGTAGGGTGATAATGAGCGCAATGTGCAGGGATGGGAGGGTGGGATATGACGTCAGAGTAGAAGTCGAGTTGGCGAGATGGGAATTGATGGGAGCGATGGGGTAAGACGTCAGACGTGGCGCGAGCGCACCTGGCATGCCCCATCAACCTCTTTCCCTGCGAGGTGACGGGGGCGCGGGGGGCGAGGGGTCACCTGTGAGAGTAGAGATTAGGGAGGCGGGAGGCTAGAGGTAAGACGTCAGAATCAGTGAGAGACAGACGAGGTCAGGAAGGGGCGAGCGGCGAGGTCAGGAATGCGAAGTCAGGACGAAGCGAAAGGCGACGAATGAGACTTGGGAGGTTCGAGTTCGAGGTGGGAGGCGAACGGCGACAGGTCCAAAGGTTCGAGGTGCGAGATGCGAGATGCGAGGCGGGAGGTAAGGGGTGAGAGTTGAGAGGCGAGTAAAAAACAAAACGCTGTCCACGAGCGAGCGAGCGGGCGTCGGGCCGTGCTTGACGGCAGTGATCTTCACGAGCCCTGGGATCTGCACCACCTGGCGCACCTGCAGCTCCCTCGTGCACACCTGGGTGAGAGCACTCAGCACCCTCGACACGTCGTAGTGGCTCACCTGGGACATTAAAAAGGAAACCTCGGTTCCCAGGCGATCCAGTCGAAGGGAAGGCGCCCCGTGAATCGACGGGGCGCCTTCAGTCGACTGGAGTACCTGGGAACTCAGGGTACCTTTTCAATAGTATGAGCCTGTTCGCACTGGTACATGTCTCTCGTCGCGGAGCAGATGGCCGTCTTGAGGTCGAAGGCCTTGAGCGCGCGCCTGGACGGCGCAAGAAGCTTGTCCTTGTTGTCGTAGTCGACGTCCTGCTGCCCCGCCGCCGCCGCCGCCTGGTCGACTGCGCCATCAGCGCCATCAGCAGGAGCGGCCATGGTGTCGAGCGTCGCAGCACTGAATCTCCGAACGTCCGAAATCTGAAATCTCAGCTGGAAGCTTGATCACAGAAGCTCTGGAGGGCACGGCAGTCGAAATCCAAACGCGATCAACATCTGAAATTCCAGAACCTCTCCCCGCCGCCCCGCCTCTCTTGGGACTCAGCCCAACGGGGAGAGGTGGGGGAGGGGGAGGGGGGCGAATAAACGACGGGGGAGGGGGGCATTAACTTGGGAAAGGAGAATACCCCCAGGGGCAGGAGGCCGATCAATCGTGTGGGGGGCAGTGGCCGCTGATCAATAGCGTAGGAGACTGCACCTCCCCCCTCCCATCCACCACCCGAAGTTCGCCTCCGCCCCCCTTCCTTGGGTATCTTCCACCCCCTAATCCTTCCCTCCTTGCCCTCCTCCTCCTCCTCCTCCTCCTCTTCCTCGTTATCGGCCCCTCCCGCGGGATAGCCATCAGGCCGCCACCACCCAACAAGATTTGGCACGCCCCTCAAAGGGTACCCGATCGGGAGGGTCACCGACGGCCCTTGCGAAAAAAACACTCATGCCGCAACAGCCACCCCCTGGGCACAGACCCATGTTGAACACAGAAATACCATGGCATTGCTGCCCCATTGTGCATTTTGAGCAGCTCTTCCTTCCCCCCCTGCCTCTCCTTCCCTTCGGGACGGATGGACAAATCCCCCTACTCCCTTTCCCCTGCGTTTGGTGGGAGGGGTCACGAGGCCACGGGCCCCCTTGGAGCCCTCTCGGAGCCCCAAGATGGCCCCAAGAGGGCCTCCAGACAATTCCCAAAGGGCCAGAGATGACCCCCGAGAGCTTTCGGCAAAGGGCCGTGTTTTTTTGTTTAGAGCTCCCTGGTGTTGTCTTGGATCCCTGTTGCAG